TTGCCAATTAAAAGACTAGTACACCAGAGGGACGCCTACGTCCATCAGTGAACACGTTTAATGCAAGCTTCTCGGGTGTTGCTTTACTTCTGAGACACAAACTGTAAGAAAGTGTAACCAAAGGGTTCTACAGTGAGAATTCTTCCTTATTTTTATCCACAAAGGTTTTTTTTGGTTTGGAGGTTGAAGGTGTACAGATAGTAGCTCCCTGTTTGATTGTGGACTACATAAAACAATTTAAATATTATGTTATGAATAGAGTGTATTACATTTTTAGATAATAATGATATGATGCATGCCATATGTTTAATTGAAGCTTTAGGTCAAAGGAGTAATCAATCATTGAATGTAATGTGATATTGATGAGGTTTGAGTCTGATTAGGTGATTGAGGGATTCCAGGTTCGGTCACCAGATGGAGCCACTGAGGCAGGTAATAAAAAAGGCCTCTCCATTGATGAACAGCATCGCTTACCAACCCGGGTGCACTTGATGCCGTGTGACGCCATGAAGAGGTACTTCAGGCTCGTAGTACTCCGGTGATAAGATCATTCCAGTTTGCAGTAGTTACAAATAGCTTTTATTTAATCGACTACGCCGTCTGGTAGAGATTTAAAATGAAAAAGTCCATTTTAAAGTGCAGTTCCTTTCTCCATTCTCTGGGTTAATGTGTGCAGCAGTGTCAAGCCCGTCCCGATGTAAAATAAAATGCCAACGCAAGTTAAAATGATTGTCTGAGTGAAAGGAACATTTAGAACGACGACAAAATGATGAGGACTCCATCTGCATCAGAGGGGTTTGTTTTCACATTTTTACAGCACGTTGGTCTTGTACATGTTTCATTACCTTCTGGATGTTGAACTTATTCGTTCTATTCTTTTTAACTTTATAGGAACCTTAAAGGATCAGCAAAGAAGAAGCAGAAGTCAGAAGCGACGCCGGGTGAATTTAAGAAGGGGAAGTTGACTTTACCAAAGACTCCTTGATTCTTTTGGGGAAGTAACTATTTAACATGAGCGACACCAACTAAATAAAAAGTATTAACATCAACGTAGAGCTACAAGTGATATACGAGGAAACTGCAACACGATGAGGTTGTGTGCAATTAGTACTTCAGCTGAACAACTGTTCATGCAAGACCTACATGCATTTATTGACTGACAAAATCAGTTAGATGTTTTGTTTTTATCAAATTGTGTTTTCTGTTGTTAAATAAATACATTTTTTTACCAATGTGTTGTTAGCCTTTTTCAAAATACATTATTAGTATAATTATTCTGCCCGGCACATTTCTGTGTATGTTCTTCTAGGCCGTACTCCTGCACACACACACACACACACACACACACACAATCAGCTCACAGGTGCATGAAGATTATTGATGAACACCATTATCTCACTCAAAGTAAAAATAACACACAACATCTACACTTTGTAGAAGAAAGAGCATCATTTTAACAAGATGGACCATAAAGAATAATTAATGAATGCGTAAATAGGAAAGAAGCGCACATCCTTCTGTAAGCCTGGAGAGAATATGGTTTCATATTTGATGTAATCTTACAGAACAGTTCATGTCATAACTGTTGTTTCTGAAATGGCAAAACAAGACAATTATTGAAATAAATATAAATGCACAAGAGCAGGAGTCCAGTTAATAATGCATCAATAATCATTCTCAGGAGGACATTTTATTCAGTACAAGACGACCAAAATGAAAAGTATCTGCCTCTCGTTTGTCACGTTTTCACATGTTTAGTTGGTGTTGCGACTCTGAGTGAGGTGAGAAACCTTTATTTAGCTTTGTGGCTCTAACAGATGAATAAGGAGAAGTGGGGAGCGTCTGACACTCAATACATTCTGAGGACGTTCAAGAACAGGGGAAGTCGTTTAGTCAGAGTCTAGAGGATTCTCACTTGTGAAATACAACTTTAAAAACAAGTATTTCACCATTATCTGAAGTCTTGAGATGGAACATTGTTAAAGGAAGGTCTAATTGTTTTCTCATTAATGCAAAGTCTCCCGTTAAGCTGAATCTTCCAGACCGTCCAAAGGACATTAAGGTGGTCATCAGTGCAACTGGAGGCCACCAGCAGAGGGATGCTCATGCACAGGATCATCACTTTAATGTGATTGTATTATTGTGGGTAATTTGAAGGTTCCAGCAGCAGAAATATTGGTTTGTGATGTTTTAAAGTCATAAAATGTTCCCTGAAGTAGAAGGTGACCATGCTGTTGTGTTGCAGGTGATCAACAGTATGAACGAGTTGGTGCTCAAGTCGTAGAGAAAGTTGTGGGAATCATAAAGCTCGTCAGTATTTTGATCTTTCAGCAGTCGGACTAAATATTCTGTCATGTGATCATTTGCAGAGACGGACTAATTCTATTTTAGAGCATGTCTTGTATATGTAATAAATCATTGATATTTCTTATACAACAGGACCCCTTAATGTCGTCTCCTTTCCTTCTCACTAAACCAGTGACGGTGAGCTACTTGAGGAGGAAGGTACATTATTTACAACTAAACTTTGCTCAAGTCTCAGGATGAAGGAAAGCAATCAAACAGCATAGCCAACAGTGTCTGCACCATCAGGGGACGGTGGACCACAATGCATTGCAGGCCCATGTAGCTACGGATATGAGCAGTACGTATGTGACTGCTTGCTTATCTGAGAAGTTCAGATCATGTGACATCTAACACTTCATTAGGTTTCAAACCTTCTTTCTGTGGTTAAATATGGAGTTTGTTATCTTGCTCAAACACGTTCCTGAAAGTTCCTCAATTGTAGCACTTCTCTGCGATCTGAAGACGTCTCTGTTTCTCCTTTTTGCTGTGGGCCTATTTGATGAGGCAAAGCGTTTAACTGGTTCTGTAGAAGCCTTTTCCCTTCGTCCCTTTACTCCCTGATCAGCTTCTACCGGTGGCTGAGCTGCATATATCTTGACGCGTGCAGTTTGTAAAGATGAGGAGTAGAAGTTGATCCGGTTCGGTGCAATGACCATTTATTATTCTTAATGTATAAAGAATGTACAAACCAAAAACATGAGGTGAAAATAACAAACAATTAAACTGAAGCAGTCTCTTATATGGTGGGAGACGGCTTGTCACGTCATGTCCCTCACGTCTCTCCACCACACGGTCAAAAGACTGTTTCCCTCTCAGGACAAACCCACTGCTGTGTCTTCCTGTCTTTAAAGCCTTTCCTTGGGCTCCAACTTCAGCCTCCCAACCGTCCTCTAGGTGAGGTAAACAGACCTGTGGCCATATTACTCACTACTATTCACAAGAAAGAAACATGAAATACACCTCTATATGGCTCCTACAGGTTGTGTTAATTCACCTCTTGTTTGTTTTATAATCTGCACTAAAATGAAAGGTTTTGTATTTGTGTTTGCGGGATGTAAATCAAGGTTCTCATGTTGAGTAAACTTAAACACAACAAATACACAGCACGTTAATGTGTGAATTTATATAGTGAATTTTCTTCAAAAGAACACAACGTTTCAACAAAATCCAGATGTTGAGTGTCATGGAGGTCCAGGCTGTGAGAATGGGGACAGACAGCCTGTTCCTGAGTGTCTACTTAGTTTCTGTTGTGGTTGTGAAGGAGAGAGGACGCAAACGCAAGGGAAGGTAAAATCTGTTTTAATGAACTCAGGATGTCCGAGGCAAACATGGAACTCAGGTAGATCTCACTAACAAAAAGTCTCTTAATGCTGAACAGAAGAACGCGGGCGCTTGGCCGGCAACGGGGATCCCGGTGAGAGGATTCAATTCATTCTATTCATCACTGCACCAAAAGAGATGGAAGCACTGACGGGATCTTGTTTGCAAATTCAGTGTAACTTCAGATTTAAACCAGGAGAAGAATTTTATCAACATTTAGAATGAAAACAGACACAAGTAGAAGTTAACTTTTAATGTGGATATAAATATCTCGTGGGGGTTGTCGAGGCGCAGGGGGTAGAAAGGGTGTGCTGGGAACCGCAGGGTTGGTAGTTCGAGTCCCGGCTGCCCCATGTCTCAAGTCGAAGTGTCCCTGAGCAAGACACCTAACCCCTAATTGCTCCCTGGGCAAGATGTGAAAATCCATGGGTTTAAAGTGTAATGTAAGTCGCTTTGGATAAAAGCGTCTGCTAAATGACCTGTAATGTAATGTAACCTACAGACACCAACCAGGGAATGAAATGTTTCCTGGATATGAATGAATTTTTTAGTTCACTACTATTAATAATCCCGTGGGAAAGCTGCCTGTACATGACATTTGTATTCTGAAAACACTGCAACACTTGAAAAAAGGGAAGTTAGAAAACTCTTGTGGACTATTTGCCAACAGTGTTTTCATAACAACAGTTAGTGAAAATTCTATGAAATATGACGAGTCGTGTGGTGATTGGTGGGAAAAGAAAAGAGAAAAAATGTTCTGCTGCACATACGACTTCATATTTGGGACTTTTCTCATAATATTTGCTTCATTATAAAGTAGTGTAATTATTAAACGAAGACATGTGAGAAGTTCAGAGGGGAAATGTTGATGAATCTGCTGACTTTTAGTAAAAGTACAATATTTACATCACCTGTTCTGCCAGATATCCTGTGAATGAAGGAAAAGAGTCAAACCTCCTGTGAGCCGCTTCACCTGCTTCAAGACCAGCAGAGATGCACCAATCAAAGTATCTGAAGGAGACTTTTACAGCTTTAATGTCACTGATGGAGGAGTTTATTACTGTGTGGCCACCAATCAGCTTGGTGATTTAAATCCATTTCTTCAATTAAATATATACAATTTTATTTAATCATTGGCTGGTGAATTTTTTGAGTTTTGTAGTTTTAGTACAATACAGGGCTGTGAATTCTATTTTATTTGCCATTTGCAGGAACACCAGCAGTGATATTTGTCTCCACCTCCCAGTTCCTCCTCCTTCCTCTCACAGACCATCTTGGTTCAAAGACCTGTGACTTCTGCATTAACTTGTCAGACAGCAGACTGCACTGAAGAAGAAACACTCACTCAATGTAAGTTAATGTCACCTTCAATGCTTCATTTTAGTAGCACAGCAAAAAGAGAAAACTGTATTTTATTACTAAAATATCATTGTTACGAGAGATTTAATTCTAATTATTCACCAACAATTTTACTGATTGCCTGATGTATCAATGCAGAGAGAAGTTTAATAGACAATAGAGATGATGAGGAAGTAGAAACTATGAATAAGGAAATGTTTTGACTATTGGTCATTTATTTAAAGTTTATTAAAGCAATAAGGTACGAGAGGCTGTACTTTATCGTTTCAATAACAGTTCGGGGGTGTTGTTGGGCCCGACGAGCAGCGGGACGTCCCGCGTCATCTCATTCATTCACATCATGACGTCCACCTTAATTGTCCGGTTGCTAAAGCTCGCGTTGCCCGAAAACGATCATTTGTGGGATTTACAGGGTTTTTTCGGCGATCGCCACCGAACTGAAAGCTAAAATATCAACTAACAGTCGAGCAAAATCTAACCTGCTACTTTGACTGCGCAGTGATACGGAACACTCGGGTCAATGTGAACAGCAACTGTACATTATAGATCAATAATGTACCCTCGTGACTCACTGTGAACCAATGAGAACGCTGGATTTCATCTACCCGTTTTATAAATGTTAATAACACAATAAGTGTGTGAGGTTCATCAGTCCTGTAATGCAGAGCAACAGAGACTCAGAGTTATTCACAGTGACTAAACTCAAGTCACTTAATGCTACATTATTATTATTGTGATGTGTGTGATACATAAAGATGATATAGACTCACGGATATGAGCAGTTAAGGGGAGAACTCTGCTAAAACAAAGACCTGCACTTGATCTAATTGTCCCTCTGTTATGGACGTGGGCTTCTTTGGTAAGAGGGAGACATTCATAGTTTTATTCTCATCCAACACTCAGAGTCGTACTCGTCCACAGACTTGTGAGCTGTGGTCTCTTCACACACAGGAACTTGTGGTTGCACACAGCATGTTGAACGCTTCCTAGAACACTGATGTTGTGTTTGTGAATCAGGTGGTGAGTTTTATGGCCGACCAGTCTGTAAGGATGGTGACAGCCATCGTGTTGCACAGTGTCTTCTTCCTCTCAGGTGAGCTTCATCTTCACTCACTTGTGTTTCACTTCAATCATTTACTGTTTGGAAAATATCATTTCAACCTAAATTCATGTGAATGTTACAATCTGTGTTTTCCTGCTGACCTCTTTTATCACGGAGACAAAAGTGACGTAGTTATTTGGAGACAGAGACGGGTTTGGTCCCACTGGGCTCGGCCTTGTGGGGGAAAGTTGTAAAACCAAAAAGATGAATCAACACAAAAACTGTTCAGGGAAAAAAAGAACACGACGCAAAACATTACTCCTGAAGTATATTTCTCTTTGTGTTCATGTTATTGTTGTGTTTTTACACGTTTTAATCACCACTGTTAATCATTAGTTTGTTTCACAGGTGCTTCTGCTGATTGTTATGGGCTTACAGATCTATTCATCACTGCACCAAAAGAGATGGAAGCACTGACTGGATCTTGTTTGCAAATTCCATGTAACTTCAGTGTTAAACAAGGAAGTAAATTCAACAGCAGAAAAACAACCTTTGGAGTGTGGATTAAAAATGACCATCGCTTTGGCCAACATCCAAATAATGTGATTTTCAACAGTAGTGGGACAGTTTCCACGTATCCGATGAGTTTTACTGGAGACTTGAGTCAGAAAAACTGCACCACTTTATTTTCCAGTTTAAAGACAACATACACAGACACATACTACTTCAGGGTTGAGAACGAAGCATTTCGAACATCAGACGAATGTGATGGTCTTCAAATAACAGTTAAAGGTAAGAAAGTTTTCTTTGCATAAAATAATCTGAGATGTTAGCTTCTATTTGTTTGTGTTTTTATTCAACTTTTAATGTAGTATAAATATCTATAGACACCAACCACGGATTAAAATGTTTACACTTTTTGTTCACAACTATTACGAATCCCTGGAGAAAACTGCCTGTACATGCCGACTTTTTTATTTAATGCTTAGAAAAGGAGAAGTATCAAAAGTTCTGTTTTTGGACTATTTATCATCAGAGTTTTGACATTATCTAGTGAAAGTTTACATTTTATTTTCCCCTATAAAGGATCACAAGTTAAATCTCAGGGGTCATGAGGTGATTGGTGGGAAAAGAAAAGAGAAAAAAAGTTCTGCTAATATTTTGGACTTTTCTCTAATCTTTAATTCACTACGAAGTAGTGGAATTATTAAATGGTAATGGTAAATGGTAAATGGACTGTACTTGTATAGCGCTTTTCTAGTCTTCTGACCACTCAAAGCGCTTTAACACTACATGACATCATTCACCCATTCACACCCATTCATACACTGATGACAGGAGAACCATACACAGTGACACCTGCACATCAGTAACTACCATTCACACACTGTAGTCGTAGCTACAGGAGCAATGTTGGGTTAAGTGTCTTGCCCAAGGACACAACGACATGCGGGTTAGCCGGGCCTGGGATCGAACCCACAACCCTCTGATTGGAGGACGACCATGCGCCCCACTCACCCACAGAACAAATGAAGCCATGTGAGAAGTTCAGAGGGGAAATGTTGAGGAATCTGCTGACATTCAGAAACAAACACATTATTTAATAAACAAAGAAAAACAGTTCACAATCCAACATCTGATCTTGGAGTAAAAATATTTTATATATATATAAATATATATTTTGCTCTCAAATGTATGTAGGCGGGTGAAATTGAGAGACACCGGACACCACACTATATTTAGGTTTCTTTATTTCTCGACTACTCTTTTGTTAGAGAGCAGTGTTAAAAGAATTTGGAGGTGTTCAATTTTATGAGTACAAATGAATTTCAGATTTCGATTGTCATTTCACAATTAAACGTAAGGCATATTTTCTGCACACAAGTCACTGCAGTGGTAACCCTCCTGCCATATAATAAAATAAAGAAAACAAACAGTACCACACAGTTACTTCTGAAATCAAACTCTTAAAATGATAACAGAATCATAGCATGGTGAAAAGTTCAGAGCGTCATTAGCCTCGTAGCGCTCACATGAACGCTCAACACATGTGCAACATCTTAAAACATCAGACCAACCAAAACAACATGGTGCATTTAGCATCAAACAATACATTTTCTGAAAAATCCATACACATCTTTTATGTACATTTTAGATATTTTTGTACAGATGGCATTCAATATGTATTTACTCACAAAACAGGACAGTCACATGCAAAGGAACGAACTTCACTTCCTGTTTCCCTCGTCACATTTCGCTAGCTGTCTCAGGAGTACAGCGCCCCCCAGTGGCCTTAGTGGTGAACCTAGTTTTCCCACTGGGCTTCATCTAGAAGAGAACTTTCATCATCGACCAGTAGTGATGGGAAGTTCGGATCTTTTTACCGACTCGGTTCTTTGAATCTCGTTCAGTAAGATGAACAAATCGTTTTTTAAGAGGGCTCGTTACTCTCGAGTCCCTGTAAGGATTCGTTCAAAATGAACGGATCGTACCAGAACGACACATCATCATAGACCAGGGTCTGAAACCCAATTCAGATGCAGCCCACCTCGACCGAACGCGGGCCATTACGGTCGACGGGGTGGTCCTTCAATTTAACAAATTGTGTGTGTGTGTGTGTGTGTGTGTGTGTGGACACAGAAGTCGCCTTTATTGATCACTGACACAAAGACTGGTACCGTCACTGCAGTTTAGCCTGAATAAGTCCACTTCGAGGGTCATGTGCGCTTTTTTAAAGCGTTGTTTCATGTCTACTCTGGGACTCACGGGCCGCACCAACATTAAACTTTCATATTAAGGTGGAGGCCACAGAATATCGTCCCGAGGGCCGCAATTGGCAAAATTCTTAATTATTAAATGAAGCCATGTGAGACGTTCAGAGGAGAGATGTCAATGAATCTGCTGACATTCAGAAAACATCAGAACACAACAAACACATTGTTTAATAAACGATTCATAATTCGACATCTGATCTTGGAGTAAAAGTTTAAAAAAATGCTCTCAAATGTAGAAGAGTACTTCATTAATTGTATTTGATTTGAAACCACAGATTCTCCTCCAAAGCCCAGGATTGAGATCTCAGGTGATGTGAAGGAGAAGGAGTCTGTCTCTATAAGCTGCTTAGCTTCCACTCCCTGTCCACACTCTCCTCCTCAACTCACCTGGAACCTCCAACCAGACTCTCACCACACGATGGAGGAAAACACAGATCGAACCTTCACAACTAGAATCCAGAAGAGCATCACTCTGTCACATGAGCATGATGGATTCATCATCAGCTGTTCTGCCAGATATCCTGTGAATGAAGGAAAAGATGTAAAGACGTCAGAGGAGAGAAAGACTCTCAGTGTTTCATGTGAGTGTTTGTTCTTTGATCCTGTCAGAATACGATGATTCATGTGTTCACACGATGTCAGCTGCTTAAAGTTTTAATGTCACATGTTCCTCAGATGCTCCCAAGGACACCTCGGTGTCCATCTGTCCATCAGGTCGGGTGTCAGCAGGTAGCCGGGTGATCCTGACCTGCTCCAGCAGAGCCAAACCTCCTGTGAGCCGCTTCACCTGGTTCAAGACCAGCAGAGATGCACCAAATAATCGATCAATATATCAAACAATCAAAGTATCTGAAGGAAACTTTTACAGCTTCAATGTCACTGATGGAGTTTATTACTGTGTGGCCACCAATCAGCTTGGTGATCAAACATCATCAGAGATCCATCTGACTATAGAAGGTAAACACAGAACTGTATTATGTTTGTTAGTCTGTTAGAGATGCAGCTTTTTGTTCAGTCGTGCACCTTCACAGGTTTATTTGGGATTTATTAAAAGGAAATGGCTCACTGGCAACGCGGTGCTTTACACATCTGGATGTGTTTTGGAGTGCGTGCATTTCATCTTTTGAACGTGTGCACATATTTAGAGGGGATCCTTCGCACTGCTTTAACAAAGAGACCCCTGATCTTTTCTCATCATCATCAAGTCTTCATGGCTGTGAAGTGACTAGCAGTGATGGAGGCACATTGTGTTATTGTGGATGCAGATATGAGCTGCACATTCAGCTATCGACAGAACATCTGTTGGTATTTGAAGGTCACTGCAGGAATTATGAGTGATACCATTTTAAAGGTGACCATGTCGTTGTGTTGCAGGTGATCAACTGGTTGGTGCTCAAGTCATCGTGAAGGTCCTGGGAATCATTCTGCTCGTCACTACTTTGCTCATCTTTGAGTGGTGAGAAAACCTTTTCTACAATACGATTGTGTGCAGATACACACCAGTTTGTGTCATTGTGAATGTTGTAATGCATTAATGCATGATTCATTATCAATATTCATAATGATGATAATACGAATAAATTGCAGAAGTAATTTCTGCAAATAAGATGCAGAAGGTCAAACATAACAACTCATTCCTTGTTACTCACTGACATTTGAAAGGCTCATAGTGTATTATTATTATTATTATCATTGAAATACATCATCTCCTAATAATAAGATTATAAATTGCACTGTTTGCTTTAAGAGAAGAAGATTATTCTACTTGACCCTTTTGACCATCAAAAGAAGCTTTTGGTTGCTGCTCGTTTTAACGCGTGAAAAAATCCTTGAAAAAGTCCAGTTTGTCTTTGATGGTAATTGATTTCTTCTCCAAATACAAACAGAAGACAGATCACTTTGTTTGTCTTCATCCACCTTTTCCTTCTCTAAATTAATAATATATCATAACACCTTTTCCGTTGGTTATCATACACCATCAAACAACACTTGCACCTTCTTGCACGTCCTTACAAACTGTTTGCTCCTCACAATAACAACCACCTGTTCCTGTAATGCTGCTGATTATATCGACCTTGTGGCCTAATTTACAGCGTCCTTACGCCCCCAAGTGGTGGGAGGTTAACAAAACAACAAAATGTTACATTTAAGTGAAATAATAACCACAGAATAACTTGCAAATGTCTCTGCTTTAGCTTTTCCCTCCCCAGCGCGTAAAGTCTGCTCGTGTCTCTGCTGCTTTTCATTGGCTTTGTAAAGAGAAAAAGTGAAGTAAAGATCTGAACCCTGGAAATAAATCTTTTTGTTGTTTTATTCCTCTGCAGTCTCAGTCCTGATCGCTCACACTAACAAAATCATTCCTTCTTCTTTTCCTTCCAGCTGGTTGAAATCAAGACGCTGCACCAAACCACAGGAGGTAAGACATCAGAAGAGGAGAGATATTTCATGATCAGGCCCTTGTTTGGTTTAGAACATTAGCACAGGAATAATCCTTCAATGGTGGTGATGTTTAAAGAGCAGAGTCTCCTCCAATGCAGTGACGCACGTCTCCAAATGAATGCTGATGATGCTCTGTGTCTGCTGGATGGTGTCTTTGCTAAGCTGTGTGCCATAAAAGCTTCTTCAAGTGCTTCCTTTCATTCATCCATAAGAACAAAATATCCACAATGACAACCTACAAAAATGAAGACTATGTAAGAACTATTAAAACACAACATAGAACAGCTTTAAACCTGCATTCATTTATTAAGGGCCAGTGCATGAAGCTGTAAACACAACATGGACATTTCATCACTTCATAAAGATGATATGGTGAACATTATCACGTGTTTGTGTGTGTGTGTTTAACATGTTCTACCTACATTACATTACATGTCATTTAGCGTACGCTTTTATCCAAAGCGACTTACAATAAGTGCATTCAACCAAAGGGTACAAACTCAGAAAAACAAGAAACAAGAAAGTGCAATTTCCTCAAATACGCCTATTTACAATTTTCTATAGATGAGTGACGTTACAAGTACAATTTAAGTGCTACAATTTGTTAGTCTTTAGTCGAGGTAGAGTCTGAAGAGGTGTGTCTTTAGTTTGCGGCGGAAGATGTGAAGGCTCTCTGCGGTCCTGGTGTCTTCAGAGAGCTCGTTCCACCATTTCGGAGCAAGGACAGCAAAGAGTCGTGATCTAGTCGAGTGTTTTGCTCCCAGTGAGGAAGGGACGATGCAGTTTTGCAGATGCAGAGCGGAGAGTGCGGGTCGGGATGTAGGGTTTGGTAGCCAGTGAAGAGAGCGGAGGAGTGGAGGAGTGTGGGAGAATTTCGGAAGGTTAAAGACCAGTCGAGCTGCTGCATTCTGGATGAGCTGCAGAGGTCGAATGGCGGTAGCGGGAGACCAGCCAGGAGGGAGTTGCAGTAGTCCAGTCGTGAGATGACAAGAGCCTGAATCAGTACCTGCGCTGCCTTCTGAGTGAGAAGAGGACGTATTCTCCTGATGTTGTAGAGCGTGTATCTACAGGATCGCGTTGTCGCGGTGATGTTGGGAGTCAGGGAGAGTTGGCTGTCGATTGTGACGCCGAGGTTCCTAGCAGTTAAAGTGGGCGTTAGCACAGAGTTGCCAAAGTTGACCGTCAGGTCCTGGGTCTTTAGGTGGTGCATTGCTCCCATGCTGTTCTGTGACACGGACACATCTGTAACACAAAGACAAGCTGCATCTGTTTTCATCTGTATATAAGTATGTATAGTAATTAAAACTCTTTCCACTGCAGGACGCAGTAGGAGCCGACTATGTTAACATGGTGGTGGAGTTACATCCATGAGGCAGAAGAGGAGGCTATGAAGCTGTATCATCTTCTCTGTATTCATTAGTCTTAGTGCGCTTCTTACAACAATGTGTGTTGCTTTTCTCTTATTACTTAATGGTATTCTGTAAAGATGAAGGGTTAATAATGCTTATAAGCTTCTTCTGTGTCTTTCTTAAAATCATCAATAAAAACATCCTCTTATATTTTATCTCGTGTTTATTGCATGTAAAGTGTGTAAAATGAATAAAAATTATGCGTTTCATTGAGCAGAAAGTGTTGTGATTCTTTATGTTGTTGAGCAGCTACACACACACTGTATTTATATGTATCTGTGTGTGTAACTTATATAACGTGTAGAATCATTTCACCTGTTCAATTGTGTCCTAGTTCTCATGTCAGGTGAGGGGGGGGGTGGGGGGGGGGGGTCTGCGCCTCACATCAACTACCGTAAAATACCTCAGTATCTGCGCAAGCGCACTAAACTACCGTACATGACAATGAGTAAAAACGTTACAACTGTCGGACTTGATCTAGAAACAAATGTAGCCGGGTGACGTGGGGGCAGAGAGGTGTTCGTACTGCTAGATGGTCCACATACAGGATTAGAGAAAGTGAGACTTTAAGTACCATAGGAGTCAAAACTCGCGGCCCGCCCGCCGGATGACTTTGCTACTGTGAGAATTACAGAACGGTCCTCACGCATGCGCGGTCGCTTCTGCTTCTTTTATATCGATTCGTTGTTTAGAGGGAGACAGAAGCTGCGGTGAGTCAACATCACACATGTATGGATCCGTGCACACAGGCGCTCGAGTGAGTTCATTATTTTCTCAACTTTTGGAAGAATAACGGTGATGTAAGTGTTGAACAGCATGAGACAGATGTGAATGTTCTTTGTCTCTGCTTAACAGGAGGAAGTCACTACTGTTGTTTTATATGTGGCTCTATTCCATGTTGTCATGTCATACAGATGTTAAAGTTTAGTAAAAAGCAGTTTTGTTTGTTGTACTCTGTCCTAAGTGTCTTCTTAATTTGACAAATTGCTCCAGGAGGGCAGTCGGGGCAAATAAAGGACCCACATTAAAAATGAATTCATCTTGGTGTCCTGTCTCATCACTTTAATTAGGCTACTCAAAATCTTTGGGTTTCATCCTGAAAACATTAGCAGACCAGTTGTTGAGTTTGTTGACAGGTAAAACTTTTGTCACCTGCACAGAGAAATAATAATAATTATCATCATCAATCACAGTGTATTGTTTATTGACATTGATCGACATGCTGCTCTCAGTGAGAGTCGGTACAGACAGACAGAGAGATTTGATTTTTAGACAACCTTTAAGATTCAAGATCAAAGATTTTAATTGTCATTTACACCACGCCCCCGTGTATTGAAATTCTTGTGCTTGCCTTTCCCGGAAAGTCGACCAATTTTAAAATAAAAATAAGAATACAATATTTTTATAAATGTACATGAAATAAAAAATAAAAATGAGGTAAGGATAAGGCAGAAATGAGGTAAGGAGGAAAAGTGCAAAACTGAGCAGGTTGTAAAAGAAAAACTTAAATAAAATGAAATATGTGCAATATAAATGAACAGTACAGTAACAGTAAGTGAATCCTAACAAGCTAAAGTGCAGAGCAGTTGTGGATTAGGTTATAGAGTCCTCTCAGCTGTTGATGGCTCTAATGGCAGTGGGGAAAAAAGAGTTTTTCAGTCTGGTGGTCCTGCATTTGACACTTCTGTACCTCCTGAGAGTAGAAGCTTGAACAGTCCATGTTGGGGGTGGGTGGGATCTTTGAGAATGGAGGCAGCTCTCCTGTGAACCCTGCGGTGGTAGATGCTCTGCAGAGAGGGCAGTGGGGTCTTGATGATCTTTTCTGCTGTCCTCACTACTCTCTGCAGGCGTTTGCGGTCCATGGTGGATGTGCTGCCGTACCACACGGTGATGCAGCTGGTTAATATGCTCTCGATGATGCAGCTGTAGAAGTTGCTGAGGATCTTGGGAGACATCCCAAACTTCCTCAGCCTCCTCAGGAAGTACAGCCGCTGTTGAGCCTTCTTGACCAGCTGTGTTGTGTTGAGTGTCCAGGTGAGGTCCTCGCTGATGTGGACCCCAAGGTATTTGAAGCTGCTCACCCTCTTAACTTCAAGCTCCTGGATGGAAAGTGGTTGATGAGGTCTCCTCTCCTTCCTCATGTCCACTATCAGCTCCTTGGTCTTGTCAGTGTTGAGGGTGAGGTTGTTATCCTCGCACCATGACACCAAACTGGCCACCTCCCTCCTGTATGCCGCTTCGTTCCCCCCAGTGATGCGTCCTATCACTGCGGTGTCATCAGCAAACTTCAGGACGATGTTATCCTTGTGGGAGGCGACACAGTCGTGGGTGAACAGGGTGTAGAGGACGGGGCTGAGGACACATCCCTGTGGGGTGCCGATGTTGGTGAAGATGCTGGCTGAAGTCCTGTTTCCAATCCTGACAGACTGAGGCCTGCCAGTCAGAAAGTCAAACAGCCAGTCACAGAGGGTGGGGTGCAGACCGAGTGTGGAGAGTTTATGGATGAGTTTGTGGGGGACGACCGTGTTGAAAGCGGAGCTGTGGTCGACAAAGAGCATCCTAATGTAGAAGTCCTTGTTTTCTAGGTGAGAGAGGGAGTAGTGGAGGGCAGCAGCTGTGGCGTCTGAGGTGGACCTGTTGCGCCTGTAGGCGAACTGCTGGGGATCCAGGGTATGCTGCTCTGAATGTGGGACAGTATCACTCTCTCAAAGCACTTCATTATGATTGGAGTGAGTGCTACTGCCCTGTAGTAATTCAGGCAGGTGGGTGTGCTCTTTTTGGGGAGGGGAATGATGGTTGTGGTCTTGGGTAGGTGGGGACGGTGCTCATGCTGAGGGAAAGGTTGAAGATGGAGGTGAGAACATCAGTCAGCTCATTTGCACATGCTCTCAGGGCACGCCCAGGGATGTGGTCTAGCCCTGCTGCCTTTCGGGGGTTGATCTTCCTGAGAGCTCTGGGTACCTGGCCTGATGAGACTGTTGGGGGAGGGGGAGAGGAGGGGGGTTGGGTGATCCCAGTGTGTGTGTGCCTCTATGTGCTGGAGCCGGAGGTGGAAGCGGGTGTAGAAGGCGTTGAGGTCCTCCGGTAGGCTGTCTGTAGCGCTGATGGAGCTGGTGGTGGTCCTGTAGTCGGTGATGTGCTGTAGGCCTTGTCACATCTGCCTGGAGTCTGCAGTGGAGTAGAAGCCATCCAGCTTCTCTCTGTACTGCCTCTTTGCCGCTTTGATGGCTTTTCTCAGTCGGTACTTAGCAGCTTTGTACTCAGTCTCAATGCCTGATCTGAATGCAGCAGAGCGAGCACGCAGCATCTGACGTACCTGACTGTTAATCCAGGGCTTCTGGTTGGGGAACTTCCTGACCTGTATAGTGGGCACAATGTTGTCTACACAAGTGTAGATGTACCCGGTCACATACTCTGCGCAGTCCTGTACTTTAACAGAGGAGTCCTCCCTTGTGGCTGCAGCTTTGAACACATCCCCGTCTGTTTGAGCAAAACAGTCGGCTCGCGGGGGGATGTAAACAGCAGCCAGAAACACAGCAGTGAATTCCCTCGGTAGACAGTAGGGACGGCATTTCAGCAGCAAAAACTCCACGTCTGGTGAACAGTGTCTATAAACAGTCTGTATATCTCCACACCACAAGTTGTCGCCGTCTGCCGAGCACTCTCCTGGGGTCAGCATACTCACTCGAGCTCGGTGCGTCAGGGCCTTCCTGGTGGTCGTTGCGGGAGCGAACAATGGCTTGAAGCTCCGGTGGTATAAATCCACTAAATTCAAAAATGCTTTTTGAATTAGCGATGCCTAAAAGTGACTGCCTGTTATACGTTAGCAGTGCATTACAGTAATGCACTGCAGAAAGTCAAAGCCAAAAAAAAAAAGTCAAAAATACAAAAAAAAAAAAAAAAAAGCGTTCTAGAGCGGAACAAGCAAACACGTCTGCCACGTAGGGCGCCATGTTTATTTTATATAAAACAATTTTGTTAAGTGGACAATACAGCAGGTATATAATAACAAATATCTATAGTATAATCAATATAATCGGTCGATCTGGACTCGTTCTCCTCCAGCATCTCCTTCTCCGTCAATGGCTCGTCCTCCTGCTCAGGATCCTCCTCAGCCGGTCGGACGCCTCACTCCGTCCCGGTATTTTGTCCCCCTTCCCTGGTGATTTTCAGGTGGATCTTCAGTCGGAAGACCTCCCGCTGGGTGTACTCTCCAGCACCCTTATTAGTGCTGCCGTGTCGAGCCGAGCGAGCAAACTTCTCCATATTGGAGAAATAGTCCTCCAGCTTCACTGCTCTCTCATTCTTGTTGGCCAGCAGGAACTCCTTCATCTGGCCCACCCCGTACCTTCTGGTGACCGTCCCACCCGAGGAGATGATCTTGGCAGAGCTCCACCCCCAAGAGGACTCAGACTCCCCACCTCCCGCCTCCCCTCTGCTCGCCGCCGCCTCCCCCTCTTTGCCTGAGAGCCTCCCCTGCTGGCCCTCGTCTTCCTCTTCAGGTGGGGGACCTGAGAGCCCACCCCCCCCTCTTTCATATCCCTTCTCGCTGTCCGAGCTTTTGCCTCAAAAAGCTCCCCCACCAACGAGTGCCCCCATCCCCTCTTTTCCCCCCCATCCACTCCGACATTCATTCCCTCACCCGTCCCCACAGTCACCCCCACACTCACTCCCTCACCCCCCCTGACCGATCGAGCTGAGCTTCACCCGTCCCCACAGTCACCCCCTCACTCACCTCCTCACCCACCTGACCGACGACCGGCTGGGCCTCACCCGTCCCTACAGTCACCGGTTCATCCACGCGGCGGACTTCACGGTGCCCCACCAACTCCCCCACGGCTTCACGCCGTGCTGCCGCGTCAGCCGAGGGAGTTCCGACATGCCGACCGGCTACAAACACACACAACCTCGCATAAACAAAAGTCACACATACACACGACCACGCATTCACACCTAAACACACGCCAGAACCACACCGAAAAAAATGAAATAACGGATAGAACAACGTGACCAAACAATTTTCCTGACGCTTCGTTCACTCACCACTCCACCAGAGAGAGATGTTTTTTCCCTTTTTTCCCTTTAGAATATAATATAATATAATGTAATAATACATTATAAAAAAACACGTGCCACTTTTTGTTGTTTTTTTTCT